TGGACCACTAAACAGATTCACTTCATTTTCTATGTCTTAGCCAGAGATAATTTTGCAAGTTTCACAGTAAAAGCAGCTCAACATCATGTAGGCTGGTGTTAACTGCTTCTACAACTCCCATCTCTTACCCCACGTTAGGCCTACAGTTAGGAAGGCCACCATCAAACTGGAAAGGCAAAAACAGTACTATGGATCAAAACGGATGAAGGAAACACTGCTTACCCTGAAGAAAGAAGATCAGAAAATAGACAAAGCACAGAGATGAGTCCTGGAGAAGGTGACCTGAATTACAGCAGTTCATGGGGCAGTAGCCCCAGAGGGTCGCCCTCCAAGTACATAATTAGTGCCAGGCCTGAGAAAAGAAAGACTGTTACTAAGTTAATGCAGTTAAGGGGAGAGGGGGGAATTGGGTGGTCAATGCACAGAGTACATTTTCTTTCTTAATATAGAAGGGGCAATGGTGGAAGAAGCAGACTTTCCTCACCCACAGCCAAGTCCTGGTGAAAATCAAGAGAAGCCACTGTAGATATCAACTCAGAAGATCACTGCTGCTTTGGTAGAGTGGTAAGACCTGAACAGCGCAGACAGCTTACAAGGAAAAGCAGTGAAGAGGTAAAGAGCAAACGTTTTTTTTTTCCCCCTCCCATCTTTCCCCTCACCCTATCCACCCCAAATAATTTGTGGCCATTCAACTCCAACTAACCAAACGTGGCTATGTTTTGTGTGGCTGATTATTCCCATTATGCAACATACCATACATTAAAATAGAACAAAATACAAAAATATGAGGGCTGCTCCAAAAGTAATGCCTCCAATTGGATTACGTTGGCCCACAGTGTTGGAGGCAGATGGTGGTATGGCAGTAGAGGCTGAACCTTTTCACCAATTTTCCATTATATTTTGTTGCCAGGCAGCAAAGGCAAGTCTGACAAAATGGCATCTGACACAGAAATGCATATGAAGCAAATGGGTGCCACTGAATTCCTCCAGGCAGAAAAAAATAATACCCACTGACATACACTGACACTTGCTGAATGCTTAAGGAGACCGAACAGTGGATGTGATCACAAAGAAGTGGTAGGTCGTATGTACCAGCAGTGGCAACAGCGACATTCTAGACAGCCATGCACAGCTGTGACACCATGAAATGAAGAGCATCTTGCTTGGCTCATCCATGCTAATCAGCAGGTTACAACCAATGAACTGTGTAAGGAGCTGAATATTAGCTTCAATGCATTGGAAATAATGGTGGCAGAGTTAAAATACTGCCAAGTTTGGACCAGGTGGTTCCCACGACTGCTCACACAGGAACAGAAATAATACTGTATGCAAGTCTGTCAGGACCCATTTAACCAATATGAGGCTGAAATGACAGTTTCCAGGATTGGCATCATTACTGGTGACAAGAAGTAGTATCCCCACTACAAGTTACAGTGAAAACAGCAGCCCATGCAGTAATGCAGTGGCTTTCCAGGGAGTGAATTTCCCACTCAAGAAAAGGTTCAAGATGAAGTCCTCAGCAGACAAAGTGATGTGCACTGTCCTTTGGGATAGGAAGGGGCTATCCTTCTGGATTTCCTGGAACCTGGACAAACCAGCAACTCTGAGATACTGACTAAGCTGAAGGCTCAAAATTCCAAAGAAGAAGACATGATCATGCTAGGCCCACATCTGTATGAAGACCATGGAGCACACTGCTAATCTTGACTAGACTGCCCTACTATATACTCACTGGATGGTCCTAATTCGGTACCTTCTGATTTTCATCTGTTTGGGATGATGAAAGTTGGACTGTATAGGCAACTATATTGAAAAAATATGTTTTGTAGCTGAGAATTTGCACTATCAAATAGTGTTGTGCTCTTTGAATCTGTTGTAGTTTCCATGGAAAGAAATAGGAGGCATTACTTTTAGAGTGACCTACATAGATGAAAGATGAACAGTATGAACTAAGATCTAAACTATTAATATTTACGCTAAAATATCCTAAAAGCTACATATGTAACAGTGTACTGGAAACTCTGTTCTTCATCTGTAAACTCTTGATACACTGAAGAGCCCTGTAGCTTGAGTTAGGCTGTGCTGTCACATCGAAGTACACCTGGAAAGAAGCAGCAGATACAGGAGGGGAAAGAAAAAAGCGTGTAGTCTGGATGACCCCTTCAGAAACTATCTCCACTAAAGAGGAAAGAGACAAGTTAGATGAAGATGGGAAATGTGGGAACGTTATAAAACACCAACTGTGAGGAAGAGACTGGGAACAGACTTAGTTTGTAAACTAGAACACTAACAACTGCCCTTTCACTTCACCACAGTTAATGAAGATCTTTGTAATTGCAATATTTGTCAAAATGAGCACATCTGCACACAGTTAATATACACATACATACGTATTTAAACAAAAGATGCTGAATGGTAAATCATGCCAACATACTGCAATTCCTATAAACAGAACTTAAATAACTCTGTTTAAGAATTCTAACTTCAGGTTCATGAGCCTTTAAAAGACAGACTTTTAAATTGCTAGTATAAAAATACTGAAAGCTTATGAAGACATGCAAGTAGACACAGTTACATACAGTTCATTATAGTTGTAATGCATTTATGTGTTTAAAAAAAAAAAAAAAGAGTATAAAAAACAAACAAACTTACTGCATCTGTGCTATTCTTAAATGCTGGCAGCCTGTTATTCCAAACAAGTAGGAATTCCTGAAGAACTTATATCCAAAATTATGCACAAGCTATCCAAGACCTTATAACACACACAGATTTCATGACTCACTCTATGGACACTATTTCCCCATTCTATTTCCTTGCTCTTCCCACCCAGACTCCCCCAGTATGATGCCAGGCCACATAATTCCTCGATCTAAGGAAGCAGCTGAAATGGAACCCACCATGAAACTAAAAAAAAAAGATATTGTACTTGAAAAAATATTCAGCCCATAGAAGAAAAATACAGAATGACAGTCTATCTATCAATTTATCCGTTCTACAGTGTGGGATAAGAAATAAAATGATCCAACTCAGCATTACCACATGATAGATCCTTCTTCATCAAAAAGCTATGCACTCTGAATTGAAGAAGTAGCTGGATGCTTAAGCCTATGTATATTTAAAATAAATATGACCTTAACATACTTCCTTCCAGTCAGGAATTGCGATTATACACATCAGACATTCTGCGCAGATCCTAAGCCACTGCACGCTTCACAGAGAACAATGCAGAAAGCAGGAACAGTGCAGGAAAGCACTGTTTGCTGTAATTAAGCCTGCTTCTTCATGAAAGATCATCAAAGTGCACCAGAGAAAAAAAGTAAGCCTCAGGGGCACAGTCTGTGATCTTCCTTCACGGGAATCCCTCCCGTGGGGAGGGATCAATATGGGTAGAGATTATATCTCACTTTATAGAAAAGGTGGTACAGAAGCCAAAAACTACTGCAGTGAAGAGAAAACAGGATCCAGCTAGAGATACCTCACCATCTATGATTGATAATTATCTGAAGAACAACCCTTCCTACCTCCAAGGAGAGGATTCCTTCTGACTGCACATTGTTAATGTGACATGGCAAAGCTAATGGATGATGATCCCACGCAAGATATTTGTTAGGACTGTTTTGAATTTTTTTAAACTTTTAAGTAGGCAACCACACCATTTTCTTATCCAATTGTTTTGCTGTCAATGAATTTTCTATATAGCAGATTCTGCTCAAAATGCCAGGTGCTGTGCTGCACAGTAATATTACACATACTCAGAATGAAATTTTAGGGAAAAACAAAAAACCTTCCAAATAACAGCTGATAGATAAAATCATTCCACTCATGTTCTCTAGACCTGTAATACAATTGAAAGAAGTTTTCCTAAAAGCTGCAGCTCTTTACCTAGTGTAACATCTTAACAGCTAGCAAGTTCAGTAATTCACGTTGCCAGTTTCTTAAGAATACAAAGATCAGCAGTAACACTCGTAAGGCAGATAGCAGAAGTGGCAGACTTTCAAGTTAATTTCTTTATTCATAATGATTACTGTAAAACAGATAACAAAGGAAACCTGAGAAGTAACAAATAGGACTTAGCAATAAAGCAGAGAAGCAGTAAGAAGACTGTCAGCACAGTTAATACTGTATAGCTGCACAGCTGGTAAACCAGAATGACCTAAGGCTAGATGAACTCTGATCCTTCAAATTTTCAACATCAAAAACACGTTCACCACTTTGTCTCAAAAGCAAATGAACAAGAGAGAGAGAGAGAGAGGGTTACAGTCAAGTCATGTTACAAGTCAAAACAGAACAGAATACAGTTCATCACACATTCCACAATTAAACTGTTTGTGCTTTATTCCTCAGCAACAGTTTTGTGTAGCAAATACTGATTCTTTCAGATGTAGTTACAATGGAAAGCCAGCAATGTTTTCCCATTTTTGCTGCCAAGGACCTGACTCAGCACACCTGCAGCCACCTCTTACATTCCCAATCATTATACTGGCTCTACTACACAATCTTATGCCTTCTCATAGGTTAACCGAAGAGATCATCTCATGGTAAAAAAGAAGAAAGTGGGAAGAAAAGACATATTTAAATGTGTTCGCAAAAGGAAACAATATACTGTACTTTGTCCAAGACAATATTTGTGGAAAAACAGAAAAAAAAAAATCAGTCTTTTTTTCTAAATGAAAAGATGCACACATTTTTTGAAATTCAGAAAGTTATGACAAATAATGAAACTCAAAATTTTTTTTCAGAGGTAACTTTTTGTTCTCTTTTCCTTATAACAACACAGATCGTATTGCAAGGAAAAAAAAACCAAACCAAACCAAAATCCATCCATACACCTGCTGGACTTTAAAAATTCTAATAGAAAGCAGCACCTTACTGTAAGATACATTAGTAACAATATTATCCAAGAGAAAACAAGTGTTTTTATCTTGCTGTTTTAAAAAGTGAGTATGAAAGAATGAAAACATTTAATCTTTTGAGGCAATAGTAAAAATTTTAATACTTACTGCGTAGGAGCCTATGAGAAATGCAGCATTTGCTTGCTTTTTTCGATCAACGCCAGTATAATGAACTATTTTCTTCTTTATCAATGAAAACGACTGTATCAAGAAATGAACAAGATTATAATTCTGCCATTTAAATGTTTCATGTCTCCTCTTCTAAAATTAGAAGAATGCAAGGCTCAGTTCATTACTTTCAACAATTTGTATTAAGACAGAATACATTGTAGACAAATCCCTCAAAAGATTCAGAAGAATCTACTGTACCCTCACCTACATTATTCCAGGATTTTTCACAGTATCCAGCCTAAATAGTTTCACAAAATTACACTAACTTACACAGATTACATGAATTTTTCTTTTTCTCCTTAATGTATTTAATATTTCTGACTTCAAGCCCCATGCAACAGATATCTATGTGAAGTAAATACATAACATGGCAGTAAATATATTACATTCACAAAACCATCACAGATAAGTTGAAGTCCCAACAGCACTAAAAACATAGTTTTGATGTTTTTTGAAAAAAAATCTTGATACTACGATTTTTACTAATAGTTGCTTCTAAAATATCTCTAGATCTGGAAAACATAGGCTAAAATAAAAATATTTTGAAAACATTTTAAAATCTTCTTAGTAATAATGTCTTAAAATTTCATCTAAGTGCTTGGCATATTGTTTATCTCATTATCTTAGAAAGAAGGTAGAATAGCACTGCCAATAGGAAGGACACTTATCTCTATAATTGCAGCAAAAACTACCCCTGGCACTATAAAGGCAACAGCTCTTCACAGCAGTGGCCCCAGGCAAGCACCCAGTCCTCAGCAACAACCAGACAGTGCGCTGTTAACACTGTGTCGGCTGAAAGCAAGGCATAAGGAGCACAGGACTCAAGTGATGGCAAATAATTACATATATTCTGAACACTGGTTGCACACGGTACTCTGAACAGCGAGTAATACGCAGTTGTGCTTTCCGGTTCGATACAGGAATTTGAAAATAGGTTTCAAGAAAAAAGAAAAATTGATTTATGTTTGTAACATCATTTTCAGCTGATATAAACACATTTCCTGCAAATTTTCAAATTGAATGCATAGAGTTGCAATCAGATATTCAATTAAAAAATCTGATCACATCTCTTTGCCAGACTTTTATATGCCCTTTCTTATAAGAGGAATATCCTTCGCTTCACAACCACACCTTCTTCATATCATCACTTTTTGGTAGCGTACATATTTGTGAACAATTGTCAAGGATTATGTACCAGAAGAGCACAATTTCATCAAAAATCTCTGATGAACTCCTTGTGAGCCCACTAAGAATTGCAAGCACTGTCATCAAACCAGACTGATGCATTAGTTTCACAACAAGGGTCACATATCCCATCGGTTTTATGACTTTGTTCCACTTCTTTTTTAATGTTTTAAGAAAAAAATTAAAAATTAAAATTTTTGTTACTTATAAATTAACAATATTGTAAGCATCACTTTCAGAGCAACTTATTTATATGCAGCCCAAGACAAGTGCAGCCTCTGCACTTAATGCAGCCCAGGCAAGCCAAAAGGTATGACACCCATGCTGTAAACAGAAGTAAGAGAATCTTGTCTCAGGTAAACTTGGTCTTAGCTCTATAGTGACAATATGAGATGGATTTATGAAAACTGATGCCAGTGACAGACACTAATTCCCTCTGCAAAACAAAACAAAACAAACAAAAAAGAACAAAACCCCACTTCAACTTTGTTAAACTACTATGTTAAACTACTATGCATGCTTTTCAATTTTCATAGCTCAGTGGTGCTTTTAAGATCTAAACAGTTTTGAAGAGGCAAATGCTAATGAGCTTTTTATCCGCCTAACAGGCAGACAGTCCAACTTCTTGAATTAGACGTCAACTAACTTGAAGTCATTGATTTCATCAATGTAGGAACTCTCTATTTTAAATACACCGTGTTCTATAAAGACTTCAATTACTAAGCACACCATGAGAAAAGAGGATGCACAACTCTTCTCTAGGACCACGTCAAAAATCAAATATCAAAAATCAAGAGGAGTCAGTAGCCAGAAGAGGAATGTAAGTAAAAAAAAAATCCACTATTACAAATCTAACTGAGTCTGTACCCATTTAGCAACTCATCTCCTAGGAGCTTAATATTAGTCACTACCACAAGAGAGTGGATTTTAAAGGCAAGTGGCTTTTCTCCTCCCTAAATGCATGTAATGGAACTTTGCATACATTTTCAAAACTTAGCTTTATTAGGAATACATGAAAGCACCTTAACAAAAGAAACTTCCCGTTTGCTTTTGTTCTTTACAAAGATGTGAATATTGAATGCCAAAATAAGCATTACCTTTAATTTCTTATTTAGTTTGCAGCAGTACTTGTAGACCATTGCCAGATTTAGTGGTCCAAAATCTCCATAGAAGCTAGTAAGAGAAAGGGTAAAAACATTTATTTTTTTAAATTTAGATAGTTTAAGCTAGATGCACAAAGTAAGAAGTAGTAATATACATATGAATCATTCCGAGCACATAAATGTCTTCTTACATATGTACTATTTTAATCAGAACAACAGCTGTTTCCTGTTTTCCACACACCATCACACAAAGTATAATACTTAAGATTTGAAAAATTCTATCACTCTGTGACAACAGTTTAGAAACCCTGTGTCAAAAGCAACCCAAATGTCTGGCTTTTAAAGAAGACAATGAAAAATAATTCAAATATTGTGGGAATATGTTTGCCTACGTGTACCTACTGTTCTTGTAAACCACCTCAATTAATTGAAGATACAATATGTATTACTGCTAAAGAATAGCAAACAGCTAATAAATGTTCATCAGCAGCCCTTGTAAAAACAGTATGTTTTTGGTTAAAAACATTTCAAGAATTAGCAGCATTCTAAATTGCATACAAAGACATATGCTGTTTACTACCCGGCTCATAAAAGCTTGAGTTAGTTTTGTCAGTTTTTTCACTAATTCCAGGAAATGCAGACACTCCACTTAATACTTCGGTGACTAAAGACATCCCTTTCTGCTCAATGGCTGAATGTAGATTTCGGAGTATACGTTGCTGCAACACGTTCCAGTGTCTTCTAACAAGTTGGGGTATAATGAAAGCTCTGAAAAGATTTTTAAGAAATCCTGATGGGAAGCAAAGAAACCATTCTAAGCCTTATAAATCATTATGGCAAGTAAGTCTGAGAGGACAGACTCATATTATTAGCTCTATAATGGGAATAGTATGTTTCCCTCAGCTACATTTAAACACAGAACATCAATTAGACTGGTTTCTCATTACTGTTGTTCTGACTGATTTACTCAAAGAAAGAAAAAGAAAGAAAAAGAAAGAAAAAGAAAGAAAAAGAAAGAAAAAGAAAGAAAAAGAAAGAAAAAGAAACTGTGTACTTACTTCGCATACACAAGTTCATTGTCTACGCAGAAATAATGGGTATCTGCAGCTCCACTCTTTGGTTTTTGGCAGAGAATTGCGAAATAAAGGCGATCTGAAAGGCAAGGAAACAGAGCTTTCAGAAACACCCCATTTTTCTGCAGCACGCCCGCCGGCAGCGCAACTCCAAACTTTCTCCTGCCTTCTCACGTGGCAGCGACACGGCTCCGAGCTCGCGACCCTCCGCAGGCCGCCAGTGCCCGGACACGGACAGCAGGGCTGGGTCGGCTCCTCCTCCAGGTAACGCAGGCCAGGCCGCACCGCGGCCCTCCGAGCACGGCAGCCCCAGCTGCAGCCTAAGCGCGCAGCATCGACGTTAAACCGAGCCGCAAAATGTCTCGAACGCGCGGCGTTCCCCAGCAGAGCGCCAGAGCCCAGCCGGCCCCCACCATCCGTCCCAGTGGGGACACCCGGTGCCTACGTTGTTTTGGCGCCCCTTGCTGAACGAGTTAAGGCCACCTCGGTATTCACAGTAAAACAAAACAAAACACCAAAACAGAACTCTCTCGAAGGGCAGCCGCAGTGAACTTTAAGCACCGACTGTGCTCTGGCTGTAAATTGCTGCACCTCTTGTTACTGATCAATAAAGAGAGGTCTTGCAGCAGGACAGCCATACTTCTGTTTTTGCTGCTGGGGAGGAAAAAAAAAATACACACACACACACACACACAAAGCAAAATTCAAAATCTAAAAGATTGTTTTGCACTAGTTGCCTAGAATGAATACATTTACTTAAATATCTGAACATCACGTATATGTAAGCACAGAAGCATATGTAAAGAGCAGAAAAAAAATCACTTTTGTTTCAAACCAAAATGATTAGCACTTAGAAGTCATTACTTATACGTTACAGAGGAAAAGAAGGCAGCCCCAGAAAAGCATTCAGGACAAAACATTAGGGAGGAGGGAGCTATGGCTCCCTGTGCCTCTCCCCACCAGAGTTCCTTCCCTTGCTCTGCACAGCTATGTCCATCATAATCAGGGGCTGCAGCAGGTATCCTTGCTCATTTAAAGGAGAAGGGGGAAAGAAAAAGGGGGGAAAAAAGGGGGAAGAAGGGAAGGCTGCTTTGCTGGTTTACTCCCCTCTTCCCTGAAAATGAGTACTAATGTCGATAGGGAAAGGGACTGACACAAGCAAGAAAGCAAAACTGAGAATGGATGAGATATTATATCTAGGGATTGTGTTTAAACTGGTGTTGCTAGATGAAATCCATGTCAAACTACAGCCTTGAGCTATGATTTCACACTGCTTCTAAACTGATATAACAGCCAGCTAACACGAAGTTTATTAGAAGGCAAAGTTTTCTGTCGGGTTAGATGTCTGGACACACCCACAGTGGGCTAGCAGTATCAAAACACATCCAATATTCCCCCCCACAGTGGCACCTACTCTTTACACTCACTCATTTTTGACTAGGACTGAGCCCTCGGTGCACTCAAACAACAGAATGGCTGCAGTGCTTGGGCTGGCATGCCACCTTGTTGCATGCCAACTTGTTTATATAAGCCGTACATCACTTTTGAAAATATAAAAGCTCTACAGAAGAAGTAATCCCGAATCCTTGAATACTAGAGAAGGAACAAAAAAAAAAAAAAAAAAAAAAAAAAAAAAAAAAAAAAAAAAAAAAAAAAGAGGAAAGAAATACACTTACATAGGTCCAAAGACTAAAATAATTAGCATTTTATTCAAAAACATGACTTGGGAGTATATGAATCACTTCCTTTCTCAATGCTCCAGCTTTTACAGAAAATTTTCTGCAACTTTGCAAAAAAAGTCCAACAAAAATAAGAATTCATCTCCTGAGTGCATAGAGAGCACATGGCCTTTTGAATAGCTGTTGGCATTCAATTCCACATTGGTATCTTTGGATTGCATTTATTGATGCCATTCTAAAACACCTGAAAGAATTTAGCAAGGAGCTCAAGCTTAATGACTGTAGAACCACCTCACAGTTAGAGCTGCATATGTCAAATGCCAACATCCTGACAAGGTGTCCTTTCCAGCACCCTACTAACAATTGCTCTCCATTATGCAAACAGCAGGCTCCATCTTTTTGAAAATGTCTCCTACGAGGAGATTTTAGTAATAAGCTGTGCAGAGCAGTCTTTTCCCATAAGCCTATCTGCCTTTCTGGCTAACCAGCCTGATAGGATACAAATGGTAAACTGCTCACTATATCTATTTTTATCTATATTTTGCAAATGTATTTCCAGTTCTGCTTGCAGCTAGAGTGTTACCAAGGATTAGAGTGCTAATTCTTGAACATGAGTAACCAACACTGTGAAATAAGGATTCCTCCGCTACGGATCCAACTGCAGGATTGGGGTCTACACATGAAATACACTGGAGCACTGATAAATGCATTTCAGTAGGACTCCACAACAGCTTGTGCTACAGAAGCAAAACAGTTTGGGCTACAGAAGCAGAACTTTAATATTTTTATGCACTCTTTGTTAATTTTAGCTTTTTAGTGGCTCATTTACATATAATTTACATATAATCTAATTTAGTACTTCCAGATTCTCACAAATTTCTGATGAAAGGTAATCATAAAATTATCATAAACTAGGGCAGATCCTTTTAATAGTCTCTCAGAAGAATAAGAGCAGGGCTTACTGCCTTGCAGGCTGCATCTGCACTGCAATTAGAAGATATGACTGCAGTACATTAGATGTACTTCAATTATGTTTAATTTTGTTTGACTCAAACAACAAAACAGTTAAAATACAAAAACATGAACAATTGTTGGTAATTAATTTTAGTAAGCTACCGATGCACAACAAAATAAGTCCACAGACCCCTACCTGAGAGCTGTGATCTCACAGCTTTGCTACTACAAGTACCAAACTAGTGAGATTAAAGCTACAACAAGCATGTGCGATTATTATGGCTTGTGTAAACAAACATCTGATTTGGATGTGCATACAGAAAGAAAAACATTTTGTTTATTTTTCTGCTCTACAATGTTCCATGGAAGCACAGGTATACAACACTAAGAGCTACCATTTCACAACTGTGTGCACTGGAAAACAGAGACAACAAAATAATCTCCTTGCTTTACCTTGAGCCTGATGCTTCTATAGGTCCACTGTGAAGGCCTTGAAGAAAGCAATTTCAGTAACTCAGGGGGCATCTAAACACCAAACGGGCTCTCACTACAGGTAGGACAAGTCTGCACACAAGCAGCAAAGATTATTTCACGAAAAGAAAAACTCAGCAGCGCTATTGTTAAACAGATGCCTCAGATGAGAAATTTGGAGGAGACTGACAGTATTACAAAATATAACGTTAGTCTGTTTTGAATTATAAGGAATGACAGTAGAAAATTATTTACTATTCTAACAGAACTGCATTTCTAAAATCAGGGTTAGTGCATGGTATTTTGTTACATTAGGAACACCAAAATAAGAGAAAACAAAAAGACAAATTCTGTTGCAATATTAAGATGAGAAGTAAAATTGTATCGTATTTTCCCTGTTAGTCATCTTATCCTTGAAAACATTCATGCACTCATCTTTACAATACAATTCCTATTTAAGTGGTAATACAGTTGACAGTAACAACAATAGCTTGGCCTTCTGAAAGAGAAAATGAAGACACACTAAAAAGCTAAAGGAAATTTTTATTTACCATGAAAAAAACATTTTCAGGTCACATCATGATTGATGATTGATGTGTTACTTAAACATAGTCCTTGATTTCAGCTGCTCTTGTCCAACTTATAAGACTACATTACAAGTGTTCACATGCTGTCAGCGCTGGCTTAGATATTAAAATCTTTAAACTTGACTTTAAAAAATCTTTGAGACACACTCACAGTGAAGTCATATTGATAAAAGATTAAATAAAACTTTTGTACTGAGATGTAGCTGTATAATAGAACTAATTGAGTCAGTGAAAATTTCCCCAAAATTTGTTTTCATAATAATAATTAAAAAAAAGAACAAATTTGGTTTCTTCATAACATACAACATCTGTAATGTCAAACCAACAATATGGGAGAAACAAAGCAAAACACTTAGTCTTCACAGTCTCCAACAAAAAACACACAAACAAGTGTGAGAGAACAAAAAAGCCCTCAACCTATCTATCAATTAGCATATTGAACCAGATGTTCTTTTTTAAAATCTCCAAGTGACTTAGGACATTCTTTCTGGAGTTAGTTCCACACTGCAACCAACTGGATACCCACTGAACAGGAGGACAAACAAACATCTGTGAAGATTCCCCATGGTGTTCTATCACTTAAGATTTAATTTCATGTTTCGTTACTGTAGTTACTTCATTTTTGAATTAACTGCTGGAGGGAGGTGAGAGAAAAACATGCACCTTTTGTGCAAAGTTTATGCCTTATTATTGTACACGTTCTTTAAAATGTTATTTATAAAAATCAGAGCAGTGACAACCTGGCAATGAAGGGAAGTAATGAGTTTTTAAGCTTCTCACACAACACAGTTACACTTCCTTTAGATCATATAAATTATTTTTTTCAGAGATCAGAAGAATATGGAAATATGCTTCCAGTAAACAGAAGAAATGTATTCAGTACCAGCAAATTGAATTCATACCAGCCAGACTCATGCATTAGTTGACAAAGACAAAATGGTAAGATTTACCGTGCAGCTTAACAGACCAAAATAAACAGTCTTCCAGAAGCACAGACTCCCTGAACTACATTTAATAGCAAACAAAAATATTTAGATTGATAAGTGCAATTCAATAGGAAATAAAGAAACACAATAATTGTGTTGAGTATAATATCTATGCATAATAAAGCATTACCAACTCTGTTACGTATCAGTGTAACATCAGGCAAGAGAAAATCCATGCATCTTTATAGCTATTTGGGACGTTTTTTGCTGTTGCCTTCCACAAAGATGAAAATGAGAGTAGTCTGCAATGTTCTTACTGAGTTTAGGGCTGTTTTGTAAGCAAAGAAGGTAATGCTAGTATTCAGTCTCCATGGTCACTAGAATATTTTCCAGTATGTCCAAGTGCAAGAATGAGGCCTGATGCTTTAATCTGCTTCCAGTCCAGAACTATTAATTCACTTCTCAGAACTGCATTGTGAGAAGCCAGAACTGACAGTCCAAAACCTGAAAAAAACTTTTAAAGCAGCCAAAGGAAAAGGTGAGCCTGTGGGCTTATTCTCTCTCAGGGTTTCTCTATTGGGAAAAAAAAAAACAAACATGTCATACTAACACAATGAAGATTAGGCTGTAACTGTTCCATTATTAGAAGCTTGTAAACAGCAGCCATGATGAACAGTATGAAAATATTAAGGGAACATGAATTATTGTTAAATACAAGAACCTAGTGCATTTTAATTGAGTCTGTTATGCTGAGTACTGATGTGCATGCTGAATTCCCACTGAAAAACAAAAGTCAAATCCTAGGTGATGTGCTGCACTATTTGAACAAGTGAGCATTTCCTTGGAAGGGAAAACACAATAATGTGAGGGGCCTGTTCAGGGCTGGAGGTGTGCCCTGGCCCCAAACAGATGCTCCCCATGGCTGGTCATAATGCTGTCTGTGGGGCTGGGCAGGGCTACACAGCATTCCAGCACGGGGATGTACTTTGATACCAAAGAGCAACACCTACCTAATCAGAGGTTTCTACACTGAACCCTAAAATTGTGCCGTACCTGTAAAAATAGTTACAGCTAAGAAGCTATAGAAAAATAAAGACTTACAGAATTACAGCTCTGCATACAAAATTACCATTATGTCCCTGTGTAGACTAGACCCCCCAAAAAAACATTTTAGGCTGGAGCTTTTTAAAAAGAGGATTCTGTTACGCTTTGGGAATTTACATTCTTCCTACATCACTATGCCCGGTTTCCAAAACACTGGCAGAATCTTAGGATTTTCTAAACACACTGGTATTTAGGAGACACAGCAGTTCATCTAAATACTCTTGCTTCTCAGCAAGGATGAGATCCGTGCTTCTGTCCATGATTGTTCTCAATATTCTTGCTGCTCTCTTTACACGCAATTTCCCATTTGTCTTTTGTAGAAAAGAGGCGAGGCTCATTTCTTTCTATTCTTTTTTTTTTTTTCTTTTAAGGGAAGTTGTAAATAATGCCATTCCCAAACGCGATACAGCACACAAAAAGTCCATTTCTGCGTTTGTTTCTATACAAACTAAACCCAGGCACGTCTCTTAGACGTGGAACTCAGGGAACTGCTTCAGCCGCACCTCCGCGGCTGCCACACGGAACATCGGCTGCCGTCGCAATGCCACCACGGGCAACGCAGGGGCACCGCGCGGGGCCGGGACAGGACAGATCAAGACGGCCGGTACGAGCGTGACGTCCACCAGCCGGCACGGAGGGCCCCCACGCACGCACAAACTAGGCTGCTGGGCTGTTTCGCAGATGGGCATTTTGCCGGTTTAAATACTCTTTCTCTCCGCTCTGTTCCAAGCCAAACCCCAGCGTGAGGCACTGCTCGGCGCTGCCAAACAAAGTTACTCAGCGCACATTACGTTAATTATTCCGAAACGCGCCCAGCACCGCCGAACCCGGCGCGCCCCGCTTCAGCGCCAGCCACCCGCGGACGTCGCGCCCTGCTCCCCGCCGCCACCAACTTTCTCCCGGACCGGCCGAGATCGCCTGGCGGGAACCCCGGCGCGCTGCTGCCGAAGGCGGCGGGAAGGGGGGCGTCGCCCCGCCTCACCGTCCCGGCCCCGACTTGCGGCGCCCCGCAGGGCAGCCCGCCCAGCCCCGGCACGCCCCCCTCACCGGTGATCTGCACGCAGGTCTCGGGCGCGGCGGCGGAGGGCGTCTGTCGCCGTTCCTCGTCCCGCTCCTCAACCCCCGCCGCCCTCGACGCTGCGCTCCGAGTTCTCTTCAGAGCCGGCGGCGGGCTGGCGCGGCGCCGGGCTTCGGCCCAGCTCTTCCGCTTCATGGCGGAGGCGGCGGCCGCGCCGCTACCGTGGGTGCAAACCGACCCTCTTCATCCCCGCCGCGTCGCTCCCCGCGGGCCCCGGGCTGCCAGGGGAGGGGCCGGCAGCGGCGGCTGACGCGTCTCCGTGGACACCGCCCACTCCCGCCACCCCATGCACCTTCGCCCCCCCGCCCAGACCCGGCTGCTCCCGGCACCCCCGCCCCCCCCCTCTGCCGCCTCTGATTGGGTCGGGGCGGTGTGGCGTCACCGGCGCGGAGCGGTGGAGACAGTGATGTCATAGCAGCCGCGGTAACAGGTGGGCTGGGCCGGGCTGGGCCGGGCTTGCAGCGGGGCGCTACGCGGGGCCCTACGCGGGGCCGCCGACAGCCGCCACCATTGGTGCGTATGCGGCGAGTCTGGTGACGGTCCGCTGCCCGACTCCAGAGCTCCGAACAGGAGAGGCGTCCTCGGCGGAATCTCGCTGCTTGCAGCGGTCTGCTCGGGATTTGGAAAGTTTAAAAGATGCTTTTGTATCTAACACACAGCACTGTGTTTCGGTACAGTATGTTTCAGTACACCAAAATAAGTGGAGCACTGCCAGTCCTCCACTGCGATCCGCAGCCCAGATCTTGCTTTGTGCAGGGTGAGCAGCCAGCAGATGTTTTCGCCCATGTCGCCCGTATGTTTTGCTGCATAACTTTTAAAAAACATTGTTTTTAAATAATTCTAAGGGCCTGTAGCTGCCCGTGGCCATTCATCGTGTGTGTGGGGCTGGGCTTATGTGGGCTCTGGCACACGGTGGGTGCTTGATATATGCAGGGCCGATGTGTTCCTTAAAGCTGTGTTTCTGCTGAGCCTCTTGTGGTGTTTTTCCTCTCCATGGCCCTCATCCTGTGATTCTATCTAAAGATTTTGCTGGGATAATCCAAAATCACGTGGCCTATTAGCACTGAAGTGCCAGGGATGAGTGGCTTCATGAACACTGGCAAACAGAAGCTTCGATTGTTCTGAGCCCCTTAGGAGTGCACAGCTGTGTCCAATTCCTCTATTGAGTTAAAACACCACAACAGAGCTGTTCCACCATGTGCTTTTTAAGTTCCACTGAAAGCAAAGCAGTACAAGAAATGACAAGACAAACACTTCCATTAGAACGGAAAGCACTGGGCACATGAATGTGAAATAACTGGAAAACAGAAGTGGAACTGGAAGTAGCATCATGACTCATACGTCTGGTTGCATGTATCAGCATGGAAGTGCAACAGTGCACTGGGTACCTGCATCCCTTCACTTCCAAGTTTTCACTCTGTCCCACTGCCCCCTCGTGTGCCTGTGGCAGTGCTGGGTCTGTGGAAAGCTGCTGTGAGTTCAGGTTGGGTGCTGCTGGCTTGGGCTGAGGGTCACATGGTACTTCTACATTAATAGCATCCTTCTCTTAAACAGGTGCTACCAAATGTGTGGGTAATTAATACGGTGCTAATGGATAGTACCTCCTCATGTAATTACATTACTCAATGTCATTATTTTTCTTAAACCTTTTATTTTTCATCAAGGAGCACTGTGTTAATTTCACTTGAGCTTAATGGTGTAGAGTTCCCAGAAGTTTGTGTTGGCCATGCCAATGGCCCTAATGGACACAGAGACAAGCCTTTTAATTTTACATAGGCCTTGTGGTACTCCACAGGCTGGTCAGATTCTGCAGAAGAGTTGTGCATTAATAACAGCAACTTACAGGAATCGTCAAAGATCTGCAGCTTCAGAGAAGGCTACGTTCCTCAATAAATTTTAGAAAATCTAATTTTGAAAGTGCTAGAATATGGCTCATGCCTCAAAAGAGGGCAAATTCTGCTTTATTGAAAGCAATAGACTCTGAACATAAACTCTTACAGAAAAAGTTACTACAAAATCTAACAACCACAATCTGTGATGTCCTCACCTCAGCTGTCTATGACAGAAACAAACTAAGGATATTTATTCAGGTATACATAAAGTATTTTCTGCTGCAAAAATTAATAGTAAAACAGGTAAGCACCTGTGGCCTATTCCAAAACTAACTATTTGATCACAAATACATTTCAGACACACCCCTCGCTGTTTTAACAGATCCACCTTTTTGTATGGCACTAAGTAATTTCAAACAGCAGCTGACAATTTTAAAATATCTTATTCAAAAATAGAAAATAAATATCTGCTCTTGCCAGATGCAAAAGTACGTGATAGCTTAAGTCCCACTGTTTCGAACCGTGATTTTTTAATTTTTTTAATACAATATTGCCACACTCTGCTGGAGGTTTTAAAGCCTCTGAAAAGTTTTGGATTTAAATGCAATTTGGTTTACTGAAAGGCAAGAAACCCAAGTTCTTCCTGAGCAAAAACATTTTAGTTCAGTGCATTCTGAACAAAGATTTAAAATGTGTTAGCAAGATTGTTATGTGAGAAAGCAGTAAGACACAGAAATTTTTGCAGTAGGTCTCAGTTGTATTTTAGTTTTTATTATCTTATATACAACGGAAACAGCATTTTAGTCCCTCTTCAGTGCCAAGTAATTTATTCTGTGCTCTGGTCTTCCAGACGTAGTTTCAGATATGCTATAAAGATGAAGAGTACTGGAGCTGTTGGGAATTCACTGGAGTGTCATTCTTGTGGAGCATCAAAAAAAAATGACACACTGCCTCAATGTCATATGTCAATAATCTGGGGTTTGTTTGTGAAATTTACTGTTTTAACTCCTGCCAGCTGCAAAACTGAATTAATGGGAACATGATCCAATCTGTTTCTATCATGATGCAAAAAATGAACTTCATTACCTGAAAGGGAATGAGAATAAACAGGCAATTAGTTGAATACAGTACTTACTAAAAAGTATAAGTGAATCAAAGAAGCATTGTGATTTCCTACGAGCTCTTATGTATCTTGTAGACTGCACAGTAAATCCTATTTTAAATTATGACATGGATTTTTTTTTTAATTAAGCTGTAGAACAAGGGGCATTGAAGCATCTAAATGAATTAAATCTGCTGAAGAATAGCAAGTCCTAATGACATGAGATGGCTTTGTCATGTGGTAGCCCCCCTCTATTACAAACACACACTAAGTGCCTCAAATCAAATTGAAAGCAGAATATGAGTTAATGTCACTCAAAAATACCTTCTGAACTTCAAGCCATCAGCAGCACTATTGATTTCTAAAGGACAGAGATCAGCTTTGTGCTGGCCCTGCCAGAGGTAAGGCTGCACAATGACATCTCCGTGGGTTCACTCTGCTAGCAGAACTGCAGAGACAGCACAGGATTGTCCTCCTTACACATCCACAGGGACAGCAGCAGAGATGGCAGCACTAAAGCAAACAATATAAGGAGTAGCATGTCACTTTCAGACAAAAAGAGTGAGATTACCTGGCCCTAAAATCAGAGTTCCTCCCTGTTGAGCAGGGTCTCCTTGAAAGTCAAAAGCTGGGCCAGTCATTGCTCTCCACATACTTTTAATACTGCCTAAGAGCATGCTTGATTTTACATGAGGGCTCTGCACTAAACAAAACAGCAAAGAACTTGTCACATAGACGTACAAAAGTACATAACAAGAACAACAAAATCAAATGGTTGCTGTGATTATTGAAGAAACCATTTCTTTGACAAGGTACAGCCTACCGGAGATGGTCTGATGGTTATGCTCTCTATGCCCATTGTGATCATGCTGTTATTTTCTAAGCATTCTTGTTCTTTAAGTCATATCAGTGAGAAAATTATTCTTACCTGATACGTCATTACCTTCACCTCTTTTCATGCCAAGCATTTTATAAATTTCCCTTTGTGGATCTACATACATTTCATGTGTATATCCAGTTAAACTGCAAAAGGGCTGCAAAATACGTACATAAAAGAAAGTGATATTTTTAAGGTTAAGAAAGTAATTTAGTTAGTAAAATAAAACACGGAAATGCACTTCAATTTTAAAACTGTGACTTTGTAATGCTAAATGAAAGCAAAGGCCAAAAAATTTTAGCCCTACAGCTTTTACTAAAACAAAGCTTCCACTGAAATCAGGAAAAGATCTTCCTGAGTGGATTTTAATCTGAAAGCTTTAGTTATTTGCCTTATTCAATCATTACTATTAGAATTGCTTCATCAAAAAGAATACTGGCCTAGTTTTCTATGGCTGCTAAGGACTGTCTTTTCACTCTGAGGAAAATCTCTCAATGCAGATCATTAAGACACTATAAAGCATACAGTTTATTTAATGACTACCTTATTTACCTTGATGTGATGATAAGATGATTGTCCAATAACTATAAGCCTCACATTTGCTTCCTAGAACAAATCACAGGTATTGAAACTGAAAAAGAAGAACTCTGTGCTTCTGCATGGCTGCAAAGCATTAGCATTTTGATGTTCTGAGATAATGATCATGGTATACTGCATTAAAATTATTCAAAATTAATGTCAGTGACATACTTGGAGCAAAATGCTTTATCTGACACCCACAGTTAATAACTACATTAACTTATTAAGCAGTAAATTACTTTTAAAAGGTAACTTAAGTTACAGGTATGTGAACTATACACTTTCTGTAGCATTGGTAGCATCACCTTTCCTACTGAATGCAACCTGTTTATGATTTTGGAAATGCAAAATTTCACCACAGTTGCACCTGCATCTATGGACAGAGCATGCAAATATTGGCACCCAAGCAAGTTTATCTGTGATTTCCATATACTGATGGCCTTAGTACATATAACTTCAATCAATGTGTTGTGCTGTCTTTCACAGTTGCACCATTAGGCCTGAGTATAAAACACAGGCCTTGTTTGTTTAAATGTCAGTAACACAGTTAATGAAGTATCAGGGTGTGTTTTTGTTTTTGTTTTTGTTTTAATATTAGCATATAACACTTGCCTATCCCAAACAGAATCATTTGTCTTGTTAGGAAAATAAGCCATCCTAAGAATAAAAGTCATACAAAAAAAAAAAAAAAAAAAAAAAAAAAAAAAAAGCAGCCAAATTAAGAAAATGTCATTCTGAGTAACATTACTTGAACAGTTTAGAAAAAGCAACCCAGTGAACGGAGACTATTTTTAATTCAGAGCACTATTCTGATTTAGTCCCATGCATGCCCAGCAGCTATCTGCACCAGCATGGCGAAAGGGCAGCAGTAGTCTGAGCAGACAGCTGCCCAGGGCATCACTAAAACCAAGAGAAATGTCTGTCTTAACAGTTGAACTACAGTAGAAAGAATGGCATGGAGTTAAAAGTGCTAGGAGAAATAATGCTGCTGCTACAAGGTATGCCATGCAGTAACTCCCTTCGTGTGTCTCCTCGGCAGATGCATTACGGCAACTGTAGCAACCAAGCAAGCATTAACTTCACTGCAAGCATTAACTTTACTGCGAGCCTTCCTTTGATTCCCGGAAGGTTAAGCCTGCAGCAGGAGATAATTGAGCTGACTGTAAAGCACATACAGGGGTGTGGCACTTACTTGTAAGTAACTCTTGGGGACTTTTGCCAGGTCTTCTACATACTCCTTACAGGTGTAACACAAGAAATTCTGCGACAGGTAGACGTGTAAGAAACAGACATTATTGCACAGCAGTGAAGAAACAGATTCTGACTTCAGGCATGAACTAGTTTGGAGGTGACTGGGAAATGGGCATAAGAAAGACTGAAGTTCAGTGCAGTCACAAAATTTGGGTTAGGAGCCTGGTTTAATTACTCTGAGCCTGAGCACAGACTCCGGATCGGGGCCATGCCAGTCATCTGTCTTGTCAGCTGGGATGCGGGGCAGCAGTGTGCTTGATTCCCTAAACACATCGCTGAAGACTTGTTTTATCTGCGATGCATTTGTCTCTGCTCACGCAGCCGAAGACCTCCCGCTCCCGCCTTTACAGCTCAGAACTTTCCAAGTACGAGTGCGACTCCGCTCAGCCCGTGGAAGCCCGCCCAGCCCCTTGCCGCCCTCCTCACCCGCACGAACACCACGACGGCCTTCTGCCGCCTGTACAAGGCCCCGAAGCGGATCCTCCTCCCGTCAGCGTCCACCACCAAGCAGCGGGCGGCCTCCCGCACCTCCGCGGGCTCAGGGCGCGGCGCAGCGGACGCAGGACGGACCTGCTGCCGCACGACGGGGCACGGGGGCGCTCCGGACATGGCCGCGGCTCCGCCGTTCCGCCCGACCTTCCCGGGTGAGAGTAAGGCGGAGCCGGTCGGTGAAGCGCGAGGCCTGCGAGGAGGCGCCGAGGCAGGGTGGGGGGGCAGCGTCCTGTGCCGGCCGCTGGGTGAGTCCGCTGCCGGCGGCTCGCGCTGCAGGGGGAGCAGGCCTGTGGAGGCCTCCGAAAAAGCAGGGAGGGAGATGCGCTGCCAAAAGCGTTGCCTATCAGCCGGAGCCGGAATGCAGTTACTTGCAGCGGAGCCAAACGGAAGCTCCCAGAAATGATGTGTGAGCAGAAGCAGCAGTAATGTCACCCAGCCCCCGGTCAGGGCTGCCTTCGCAGTGTGCCGCGATCGAGCCAGAAAGTGCCGTTTTCTAGGAAGTGCTGAGTTGCTGCACCAGAAAAAGCATAACCCGTTCCCTCAAAGGAGTAAAAGAACTGCACAGGGCTTGGCAGGTGACAAGCGGTGGATGCTGAGCAGTGCAGAAGTGTGTGATTGTAGGGAGTGCACACAGCAATAGAGGAGGTCAATAGATCCCCTGAAAATAGGAGCACCGGACACGAGCAGAATTTTAGTCCTTTGTTAGCTGATAGTTTACAAGGACAGCGCCTTCTTCTCACAGGGGGCTGTAAAAAAGAGGTACCAGAAGGAATACACCTGGGAACAGGACTGGAGCATTAGGTGGGATGATTGGTGGCCCTGCATGTGGCAGGGGGGTTGGAGATTCATGATCCTTGCGGTCCCTTCCAACCCTGGCAATTCTGTGATTGATTCTGTGAGTTATTCTACTTCATGAAGCCCTCCATTGAAGTTAATTCGAGATATTCTCTTGGCAAACTTACTTTCTACAGTGTTAATGTCACATCAGCTCCTGAAATTTGGGTTAAACCCATTGGTTTCATACTACACTGAGAGACTGCAACCCCTCACCCACTACTTTGACTTTTTGATACAGACAATGTGCATTCAATCTTTTTTTCTCATTTGAGCAATCCTTTTAACCATTCCTTTCCCCCCTCAAGATAGTTTACACCTCAGCTGAGATATTCCCTAACTAATTTCCTAAAACTTGTTAAATAGTTTTCAGGGCACATCAAGTGCTGTATGCCAATAAAGGCAAGTCAGCTCTAAATAATAAACAACAATATGAGGGAAGGTGATCCCTGGCTGATAAAGTGCTTATGGTGAATCAGATTTCCAGGACATACCTGGAGGTGAAATTGGTGTAGCCTGCTTGTTTCAGCAATAAAATTTTATTTCATTATATGAATCTGTCTTTTGGCTTTGTCAGATTAAATGTGGTCATCATTATAATAGTTTGCTGAGAGGGCAAATCAGTGTTCAAATTTTAGTAAAGAAGTTGTATATTTGCTTATAGCTGTTTGCTTGAAAGACTAGTCTTGTAGGCTAGTATGCCCCCACAGTGACCTCAAATTTGTACGGGATTTCTGAAAATGGTGAGACTTGCTCTCTGTTAGATAAGAGTTTAGGCAGTATTAATTCCCTGTTGCAATTATCAGAATTCTTTGTATAGGTAACAGTTATACATAGTTTCTGTGGTCAGCTGGATCCCTTCAACCAGCAGCCCAGAAGCAAAGTGTGGTTTGTGCAATAGAAAGAAAATGGCCTGCCTACCCTGAACTGCCACAAGATGTAGAAAAGCAGGGAGAACTGGTGACCTTTGATATGCTTTACTCTTTCTGAGGTTGAAGTTGGAGGACTGCTCACATAACCTTTCCATGCTATGGCTTCAGCAAAGCTTCTGGGTAGCACAGGCCTCAGTATGCAGGGCACAAGGGCATAGCAGAACTGGGAGAAGGCCGTCATCTCTGCAGCTGGAAATCAGAGCCTACAGCTGAACTGTGGCGTTCCTGGAGTGGATGTGCAGCCAAGTGCTCTTTGGGATGCAGGTATGGTTGGGCCTGCTGATGAGATATTGGACAGGGGGTTGTCATAAATTTGAAGGACACTGTCCCAGCTCAGTATACCCTCTTGTGCTTAGACTACAGAGAAATCAGTCTCTCTTGATTGGAAGTGAAGTTTCTGAGGAGCCCACCACATCTGTTAGAGCTGATACACACTCCTGCCTAAAAGTCTGCCTGCAAAGTTAGCTCTTTTATGCTGTTCAGAATGCCTTAGCTGGTGTCAACAGTGTATGCTGATAAGTAGCATCTTTCTCCCAAGGATATATTCCAAAACATTCTCTGAAGCTCCTCAAACAGTATGGTCCACATTTTTGATAGTGTTCTGTGGAATTGTAAGTAGCACACAAATGCTACTTACAGTGTAGCACTGCCATATTCCCTGAAATAGGAGGCACTCAAAATTAGCAGTCACTTTTGAAAGTGAAAATTTAAAGTCATTCATTTAGGTACACTTAACAGAAATGCATTTACAAATTCCATATATTTAGATGGAAAGAAAGACACAACACCTGCTGACTTCAGATATTCTGGTCAATACAAACTTTCTACAAGGATCAAAACCATAAGGTCCATTCGTATGAGTTGTCTTTGGGGAGATCATCCCTTGTTTTGTTTTTTTTTTTTTGGTGATTTTTTTCCCCCCTGCTCTTTTCTTTACATTTCTTAAATAAAGAGATATTGATAACATGAACAATGTAGTCATCAGAGCATTGCCTTTGTTTCAGTGACTTAAGGAGAATTAATTAATATATTGCCATATTAATCATGATGTAGCATTCAGGATGCAAGTTACTTTTGTTGCACTTCACAGCAGTGCAGTTTACAGTTGCAAAGGGAAACTTAGCCAAATATTTAAATAACTAAGAGCTAGTTTACTTTTTGTTCTGGATAGGAAATTTGGATTCCTACCATTTCAAGGAGAAGAAAACAAACACAGATGTGAAATAATTTATTTCCTCTGTATTGGCCAGTGAAACAAAATGCCAGCTGTTATTAAGCAACCTGAAGCCTTTTATTTAGAAGAAATGAATAAAATATCTGACAAGAGTGATGTGGCTTATATAAGTAGTGTGCCACAATGTTTAGAGTATGTAGTGTGTACTGGTAAAACACCATATTATTATCTATTTACTGCAAGATGTACTTTTTTTTAGTAGTATAATTTTTTTTGTTGTTGTTCTTATTTATCTAAGTATTACTTAGCTAGAGGTATTGTGGTTATTAATTATCAACTGAAATAAATGTTTATAATTCTGGAGTAAAAGTATTTTGTTAAATGTTAACTAAGAATGAGTTGTTTTTAAACTGTTGTAATTAAAAAGCAAAAAAAAAAATGTGTTCTGTCCTGTAGATAAGAGGCTTTTTCCCGTATGGCTGTTTTTCACTGTACTGATAGTGTAATTTTGAGTAGGTTATACTAGATTTCATGTCATAGAATTGTGGAACTGTTTATTTTAATCAGCCAGGAAAACCACTTGCAGTTTTGAAGTCATATTTCAAATATTATCTTCATCTCTATCATCTCATCTCATCTTTTTTTTTTCTTTTCTTTTTTTT